GACACCCGAGGTCCCTCTACACAGCAGTATGCTGCAATTTTTCACCATTTAAATAATAGTCCATTTTGCTATTATTTCTACCAAAATGGGTGATCCACATTTATCAACATTGTACTCCATCTTCCAGATCCTTGCCCACTTTCCTAACCTATTTATATCCCTCTGCAGACTTTCAGTGTCCTCTGCATCCTTTGCTCTACCACTCATCTTAGTGTCATCTGCAAACTTTGACACACACCTCCAACTCCAAATCATCTATGTGAATTGATTCTCTGTTTTTTTTGTTTAATGCTTGATTCTTAGGTAGCTGAAAAGCTTGGGGCTGTGACTAAGATATAGAGAAGCCTCTGGAGCACCACCACCTCAGGAGTTCTCTGTTCTCTGTGGTAAGCCACTTTAAGCCTAAAGAGAACCACTTTATCTATTATTCAGCAAATTCTGTAAGTTTTGACTTTTAATTGATAAGTCAGTGACCTTTTATAAATTCATAAGGCACCCCAAGTCTTTTGCAAAACCAATGGTTGCACCCAGAAAAGGATGACTGCGAAACTATCTTCTGATTAAGAATCATAAGAATCATCTCAGGAATCACTGAACCACCTTCTCAGTCTTTCCCTTCACCCAAACATGCATGTTTTTATGTAAGGGTCATTTTATAAGGAGTTAGAGTTTTAATCATAGAGTTATATGTTGACTGTTCATAATTATTTTCCTATAGCAGGAGTTTTTTAAAATAATAAATAGCTCAGTACAGAAACCTAGTCCATGCTTTCTGTCAACACAGGTCTGAAAGTCAGATAAATTGGGGAATCTTTATGTACTGTTTAAAAATTCTATGTTTTATGGTGACTCCAGCAATATTGGGGCATGATTTCCAGGGTGCTATCCCTTTAAGGAGTAATAATCTTGTGAATGGCGCAATCTGTCATGGTGGTGGAGAGAACGGATGCTTGTGGATGTTGTGCTAAACTGCTTTGTCCTGGATGGTGTTATGTGATCAATCCAGATAAATGTGAGGTGATGCACTTGGGCAGAACAAACAAAGCAAGGAATACACAATGCACTGTAGACCCCAGGAAGCACTGAGGATCAGGGGACTTTGGTGTGCAATTACCGTGGTCCCTTCAGGTATCAGGAAAAGTTGATGAAATGGTTGAGAAGGCAAATGGGAGTCTTTCCTTTATTAATTGAGGCACAGAGTTTACGAGCAAGGAGGTTACACTGGTTTGGCCACAGCTAGAGTATTGTGTGCAGTTCTGGAATCCACATTATAGGAAGTATATGATAACACTGAAGATGGACACAGGAGATTTACCAGGATGTTGCCTGGGCTGGAGATTTTCAGTTACGAAGAGAATTGGACAGACTGGGTTTTTTTCTAGAGCACACAAGATTGACAGGGGACATGACTGAGATGTATAAAATTACGAGGGACATAGATAGAGTAGACAGGAAGAAACGGTTCTCCTTGATGGAGGAATCAATGACTGGGGATTTAGAGGAAATGTGAGGAAACATTTTTTTCACTTGAAGGGGAGTGGGTATCTGGAACTCACTGCCTGTAAGGGTGGTAGAGGCAGAAGCCCCCATAACATTAAAAAAGTATTCAGATGTGCACTTGTGATGCCAAGATTAGAAGGCTAGGAGCCAAGGACTGGAAATGGGATTAGAATAGTTCAGTATTTGTTTTTACCTGCACCGACATGATGGGCTGAAAGGCCTTTTTCTGTGCTGTAGATCTCTTTGATTCTATGAGCTTTTGTGTGAGTGTTGTTGGAGCTGCACTCATTCAGGCAAGTAGGGAGTATTACATTACGTCTCTGACTTGCGCCTTGCAGATGGTTGACAGACTTTGGGAAGGGAGGAGGTGAGTTATGTGCTGCAGTATTCCTAGCCTCTGATCTGCTCTTGTAATCACTGGATTAATAGACTTAGTCCAACTGAGTTGCTGGTCAATGGTAATTCTCAGGATGTTGATAATGTCAAGGGATGGTGGTTAGATTGTCCCTTATTGGAGATGGTCATTCCTTGGTATTTGTGCTGCACATTACTTGTTACTTGGCACCCCAAATCTAGAGACTATCCAGATCTTGCTACATTTGGACATATATCAGTATCTGAGGAGTCGCAAATGGTGCTGAACATTGTGCAATCATCAGCAAATATCCCCAATTCTGACCTTATAACAGAAAGAGGTCATTGATGAAGCAGCTGATGGTTGGGCTTAGCACACTACCCTAAGGAACATCTGCAGAGATGTCATAGGGCTGAGAAGACTGACTTCCAACAACTGCAACCATCTGCCTGTGTGCCAGGTAAGATTCCAACCAGCGAGAGTTTGCCCACTGATTCCCATTGACTGCAGTTTTGCTAGGGATGCTCAATACAACATTTGGTCAAATGCAACCTTGATGTCATGGGACGTCACTCTGACCTCACCTCACCTCTGGAATTCAGCTATTTTGTCCCTGTTTGAACAAGGCTGTAATGAGTTCAGGATCTGATTGGCTCTGGCAGAATCCAAACTGAGAGTTAGTGAGTAGGTTATTGATGAACAACTGCTGTTTGATAAGTTATGTTTCAATTCTATTCTTACTTGTCATCTCTTGGTATGAGGCAGCTGAATAGCTTGTTAGGCCACTGCAGAGGGTATTTAGGAGTCAATCACATTGCTGTGTGTCTGGAGTCGGTGGCCTAGATTAGGTAAGGACATCAGATTTCCTTCCCTGAAAGACATAGTGAACCGGATGGGTTTTTACCAGATGATAGTTTCATGGTCACCATCACTGAGACTAGCTTCTTTGTTAATTGATTAAATTTAAAATTCCCAATTACAATGGGATTGCAAGTTGCAATTTGAACTCATTGCTCTGGATTACTAACCTCAGTAGTATCACCACTATGCCATATTCCCTGATGTACTCCACTGCCACCCTTACTTCATTTCACACAGCAGCTCTTCTTTGCTCTCTATCAATCAGTGTTCTCTCCAAGCTGCCTCTGCTTTTCGGCTTTGATTATTTCTAACAAGCTTCCTGTCAGACAGCCTTTACAAATGTTGCCTGGATGATTGAATCATACAATGATCCATTTGGCCCATTCTTTCTGGTTGTGCTCTTTGCTGGAGCTGTCCAACTGGTTCCGCATACAGAATATAAAACAAATGAAGAGGAGTTTAATATTGCAAGAGCAAAGAGAACTTGAAAAGGACGTGACCTGGGCAAAAGCAGATAAGCTACAGTGGACATGTGAAGATGGCACAAAACAGATGAACATGAAGGCTGATCTCATGGGAGGAGTAGCTACAAGCAGCAGCATCCAGTTTATTCTGACTGTCCACATTCTTCCAACCAAAATGTATCTCTTTCTCTGCGTTAAATCTGATCTGCCATACACCTGCTGATTTAGAGTCACAGGCATACAGCACGGAAACAAATCCTTTGGTCCAACTCGTCTGCGTCGAGCAGACATCCCAATCAGACCTAGTCCCATTTGCCAGCATTTTTCCCATATCCCTCTAAACACTTCCTATTCATATGACATCCAGATGCCTTGAAATATTGTAATTGTACCTGCCTCCACCACTTCCTCTGGCAGCTCATCCTACGCACGCATCATCTGTGTGTCTCAGGGTCCTTTTTAAATCTTTCCCCTCTTATCTTAAAACTATGCCCTCTAGTTTTGGACTCTTCCACTCTAGGAAAAAGACCTTGGCTATTCACTCTATCCATGCCCCTCATAAATCCTCCAACCTGTCTGATGCCATCTTGATGCTTGTTACCACATTTTCTGACTTGGAACTGTGAACTGTTAGCCCTTTATAGCTATTTCAACCTTATTAATATCCATCAACATGATATCTGCAAATACCACCTCTACTCTATCCTTTTCATTCAGTTAGCCACATCTCCACCAAAAAGCTCCATTCATTTTTCACATACATTTGGTCACCCTGAATTAATCTGTACCTTCCGAAATACTCTCTAAATGCAAGTCTAATTATACATTCTAGGAATTTGCCTGCAACTGGCCTGACACTAACTGGTACAAAAAGCAAAACACTGCAGATGCTGGAAATCTGAATGAGAAAAAAACAGAAAATTTTGGAAATACTTAGCAGTTCAAGCAGCATGAGCGGAGTGAGAAACAATTTCAGGTCTGAGGTCTAATGAAAGCTCATAGACCTGAAACTATTTCTCGCCTGCTGAGTATTTCCATTTTTTTTGTTTTTTGTTCAGCTGCTTTGTCTTTCTTGGTCTTTATGAACAGAGATGCTACTCCAGCAACTCTCAGTCCCATGGTCACAATATCTGTATTTAAGGAGGATTGAGAAATGGTAGCCAGAGACCCTGCTTTCTCCAGTCTTGTTTCTTTTTCTCTCCAGCAAAGAAGACAGTTGTACAAGTTGACAGGTACTGTTCTGACTACCTCCCTGCAATTGTCACAAATGATTATTGCATTCACTCCTCTTGTACATCACTCGCATCATTAAATTGACAAACACTGTTATTGCTCCATTCTGCACTGTTAAATTTTTACCTTCATCCCTGAGTGGCTGTATTCACTTGAACTTTGCTTTTAATGACTCTGTACTTCTGAAAATGTTCACTGTTTTCATTTATATTATCTGCTGGCTTGTTTTCATAATCCCTTTCACTCTATCTGTTCGCCAGCTGCAGATTCAGTTCTCTTTCTGTTCATTAGCCCCACTTTCATCATGGATTACCCTTTCAAGTTTTCAATTTGTTGTTATCCACAGAATTCAATGTTTTGCACTTTCTTTTCACTATGTATTAATAATATTTAGTGATAGCTGAGTGTTTCCCAATGATTATTTGCAGATATGTTTGATAGAACTTCTGCCCTGTTAAATTCTCCCTGATTCCATCTAATCCCATTAACCTTTGTTTCTTTCCAGTTCTAATGCAGTTTATCTTTCACACTTCCTAGGAATTAACTCAGGGAGAATGTGTGAATGAGACAGAAAGACAAAATCTTACGTTCTTAAAGCCCCTGTAGAGCACCTGAAGCTCTCGCTTGCTGAAGTTGGTCTGGGCCTGTAGTTGTCGTAAGCCCTCAGGCCGATGGCAAACTGTGGTCATTTCCAGCTCATCTTCAACCTTATCTGTAAAAAGAAAGCACAGCCAGAGAACGTCAGAGAAATGAAAATAGCAGTGCTTCAGAGGGACAATAGCTCTCAGCCAAGATCGTACATCTCACATGTACATTCAACAGACCTTGTCTAATGCATGGTACCAATGAAGGCAGGAAACAGATACATATCCCATCACACACCCTGTACAAATGGCTCCATCACATAGTTCCCAAACTTGGACTATGTTCCTATTATCAGTGTTTTCACTGTCTCCTGACTTGCAGACCTGTCTTAGAGACACAGAAAATAGGAGTAGGTGTAGGCCATTTGGCCCTTTGAGCCAGATCCTCCATTCAATATGATCCTGGTTGATCATCCAATTCAAAGCCCTATTTCCATTTTCTTCTCCATGCCATTTTAACCTTTTAGTTGTAAAAGCTTTACACCAGCTCCTTCTTGAAAACATTCAATAGCTGAGCCTCAACCACTCTCCATGCAGAAAATTCCACGAGCTCACCACTCTGTGGGTGAAGACATTTCTCCTCTTCTCACTATGCACGGGGATGGCTTTGCTTATCCTGATTTGGAATTTGACTTTCCCAGGTTATATTTATTAATTTTTATCCTCCACTAAGAGAGAGATGACTGACGTGTTAAAGAATGCCTCTTGCTCTCTGCAGCTTCACTGATCACTGTTCCTAACCCTGATATATATGCATTATAATTAAACACTTCTCTCTCTCACTGACATCACTGCACCTCAGCACTCCTTTCAAAACAGCTTTTTTCTGTGTTAGCTCATAGGCATACAGATTAGAAACATTGCTTGCTGCATAGTTCGATCATTTTGATACAATGATAGATGTGATATTTCTATACATCTGTAGTCACTGGAAGTCAATGTTAGCATTCCGATGGATATATTTATTACTGATTACAGAGCTAAAACTACTTTGTTCATGAGCTTGAATAAATAAAGAGTGAAGAGGTCAATGCAGATCCAGCTCAATAAATTGATTCAGCTCACCAACTGTTCCTCATTCTGCTGTCTGGAATATTGGATAATTTACCTCTGGCTGCCCAAACTTTATCTAATACTTTGTGTTGATGTCACATCTTCAAAGTGGCAGAACATTCTGAGACACTTCACATTCTCGCTATTAATCATCTGAAACAGAGTAACATAAGGTCAAGGGACAGATATGTTTTAAGGATCCTCCAAAGGGGAGAGGAGCAAAGAGTTTTGGGATGGAGTTGCAGAGCTTAGTGCCTAGACAGGGTCTTCAATGTTGGAAAGATACGAGTTGGGATGATTGAGCGGGTGGTAGAGTTGGGGGTATGCAGGAGGCTAAAATTGGAGGAGCATGGAGATCTCAGAGGGTTCCACGAATAGAGATTACAGAGATAGGGAGGGGCATGGCCATGGAGATATCTTAAAGCAAGGATGAGAATTTCAAAATTTAGGACAAAGCTTAACTGAGAGCCGTCAAGCATATTAAATATGGGAATGGGGCTTCCTACATGTTAAGACACAGGCACCGCAGATTTGGATGAGCGACATTCATGGAGAATGGTAGATGGGATGCGGACCAGAGTGTGTTGGAGGAGTTAAGTCTAGACGTAACTAAGACGTAACAACTGAGAGCTTCAGCAGAAAGGTGATCTGCTGCCTGATATCTATTTTGTGATTATTTTGGACACAGCAGTGCAAAAGGACTGACTGCAGAAAAGGAATGGCATATTTGATTTTCCAAATACAGCAAAATTTTTATTATCGGGCACGTATAGGACCAGGACCTAGGGGTGCAGGTACATAATTCTTTAAATTTTGCGTCACATACAGACAGGATGGTTAAAAAGGCATTTGGCACACTTGCCTTCGTTACTCAGTCCTTTGAGTATAGGAGTTGGGACATTACATTGAGGTTGTACAGAACATTGGCGAGGCCACTTCTGGAATACTATGTCCAGTTCTGATCGCCCAGTTATTGAAAGGATATTATCAAGCTGGAGAGGGTTCAGAAGAGATTTACTAGAATGTTGCCAGGTATGGAAGGTTTGAGTTATAAGGAAAGGCTGGATAGGCTGGGACTTTTTTCACTGGAGCATAGGAGGTTGACAGGTGATCTGATAGAGGTTTATAAAATAATGAGAGGTATAGATAGAGCTGATGGTAGTTGTCTTTTCCCTAAAATGGGGAATTTCAAAACTAGGTGGCACATTTTAAAGCTGAGAGGAGAGAAATTTAAAAAAGACATAAGAGGCAATTTTTTTACACAGAGGGTGGTTCGTGTGTGGAATCAACTTCCTGATGAAGTGGTGGCTGCAGGTACAATTACAACATTTAAAAGACATTTGGATGGATATATGTATAGGAAAGGATTGGAGGGATATGGGCCAGAAGCAGGCAAGCAACTAGTTTTGTTTGTGATTATGTTCAGCAAGGATTGGTTGGACTGAATGGTCTGTTTCTGTGCTGTCTGACTCTATGACTGTAATTGAGCAAATATTTTGGATAATCAAGAGATCTGCATAATCAATGTGAAAACATACACTAAATAAAGAAATGTAATGCAGGGGGCATACACATCATTGTTATACTTTATTTATTGCTTAAATCACTTAAATAACTTTGCCTTAAATAAAACTTACCTACACTGAGCCATCTCACTCGCACCCTCAACTGACTACTTGGACATTGCAGTATATCGTGGCATTTGAGGAGAAATTGACTTGTAACTTATTCAACTGTTGATATTTTGTGTGGCCACTCAGTCGAGGAACAAGCATATTTATATTGAGGTAAGTAAATTTAAAAATCGATTAATAATAAGATTAATATGATTAATCATAATGATTAATAATAATTAACCTAGAGACATGCAGCACATTGTCAGCTCAGTAAATGCGTATAAAAACCCCGAGAGACAGGGACCCACCCAGGCTGCAAGTGGAGGGCAAATAAAGGCTCTCGGGGGGTGAAGAAAATTTTCTTATCTCAGGTCTTTGGAATTCTCTTCCCCAGACAGCGATGGAGGCTGTGTCATTGACTAAATTGAAGGCTGAGTTAGACAGTGTTTTAATCAGGGAGTCAAGGATTAGGGGGTCAGACAGGAAAGTGCAGTTGAAACCGATCAAAATCATTTATGATCGTATAGAACAAAACAACATGCTCGATAGGCCCAATGACCTTCTGCTGCTGCTGATTTGTATGAGCTAATGATCTTACTGATGAACAGCTACCTTGATGGAGGTGTCATCTCTTAGGCACAGTGTTAAACCGGTTCTCAGTCAATCTGGTTAAACAAGGCTCCAGTTAGTCTGGTACAGTGTTAAACTGACACCCCAATCAGTCTGATGCAGTGCTAAAGTAGACACGAGCCAGTCTGGTATAGGGTTAAATCAGGCCCCAGTCAGTCTAGAACAGTGTTAAACCAGGCCACAGTCAGTTTTGTGCAGTGTTAAATCAGGCTGTAGCTGGTCTGGTACAGTGTCAAATCAGGCTGCAGTCAGTCTGGTACAATGTTAAACCAGGCCACAGTCACTCTGGTGGAGTGTTAAAGTAGGCCCAGTCAGTCTGGTGCAGTGTTACACTGAGGTCCCTGTCACTCTGGTGGAGTTTTAAAGTAGGTTCAGTCAGTCTGATATAGTATGAAAACAGACCCCAGGCAAGCTGGTCAGAGACAGTCTGAACTGCAGGTGCTGGAGTCTGAGATAACACAGTCTAGAGCTGGAGGAACACAGCAGGCCAAGCAGCATCAGGGTAAGGAAAGTTGACGTTATGGGTCAGGACCCTTCTTCAGAAAATGGGTCCTGGCCTGAAACATCAACTTTCCTGCTCCTCTGATGCTGCCTGGCCTGCTGTGTTCATCCAGCTCCACATCGTGTTACCTAGGCAAGCTGTGCACTGTTAAGCTGAGAAGCCAATCACATTGGCGCAGTGTTAAGCTGGGAAACCAGTCAGTATGGTGTGGTGTTCAAGCAGGCCAGACTCAGTCTTACACAGGCGTTAACTCAAGCCCCAGTCAGTGTGCTGTGGTGTTAAACTAGGCTCAGTCAATTTGCTGCAGTGTTGAAACAGGCCCAATTATATCTGCTGCAGTATTGAACCACACTCCAGTCAGTCTAGTGTCATGTTGATAATGTCCCCAGTCTGGTGCAGTATTAAACTGAGACCCCACTCAGTCGCTGCCCCAAGCTCCAATCAGTACTGTGCAATATTAAACTAAGCCACACTCAGTCTGGTATCATGTTAAATATGACTTCAGTCTGTCTGGTGCAATGTTAAAGCAGATCCCAGTTTGTCTGGTGCAGTATTAATCCAGGCCTCAGTCAGTTTGTTGTAGTATTAAACTAGATCCCAGCAAGTCTGGTTAAGTGTTAAACCAGATCCCAGTTAAACTGAGACCTCAGTCAGTCTGGTACAGTGTTAAACCAGGCACCATTCACTCTGGTCAGAGGTAGTAAGAACTGCAGACACTGGAGTCAGAGATAACAAAGTGTGGAGCTGGAGGAACACAGGAGACCAGGCAGCATCAGAGGAGCAGGAAAGTTGACGTTTTGGGTCCGGATCCTTCTTCAGAAAGAAGGGTCCTTTCTGAAGAAGGGTCCCGACCCGAAACGTCAACTTTCCTGCTCCTCTGATGATGCCTGACCTGCTGTGGTCCTCCAGCTCCACACTGTGTTATCGCTATTCACTCTGGTGTAGTGTTAAATTATGAACCAGGTCAGTCTGGTACAGTGTTAAATCAGGCTACAGCCAGTCTGGTACAGTGTTAAACGAGGCCACAGTCAGTCTTGTGCAGTGTTAAATAAGGCTGCAGCCATTTTGGTACAGTGTTAAATGAGGCCCCAGTCAGTCTGGTACAGGGTTAAATCAGGCCCCAGTCAGTCTCGTACAGTGTTAAACCAGGCCACAGTCAGTTTTGTGCAGTGTTAAATCAGGCTGCAGCTGGTCTGGTACAGTGTCAAATCAGGCTGCAGTCAGTCTGGTATAATGTTAAACCAGGCCACAGTCAGTCTTGCGCAGT